TTCAATGCTGCTGCATCCACCTTGTCCAAACAGATGCAAAGTTTATGATCTAGCCTAAGAAAAACCTTAAAAGACATTACTGTATATTAGACTTCTGACTTTCTTGGGTGGGAAGTTCACACCCTCCCTGGAATATAAGGTTCTTGCTGAAAATGATCTAATTTGTCTATATATACTTTAGATATGTGATCACAATTAGCAACAAAATGTGAACATACGGAAGCTTCGCTTGACATGATTGTTATACCAGTACTTTCTGTTTTTCGACGCTTGTACGCTCCCAGGACCTCGAATAGGCTTCTAGGCCCCCCATACTCGGTATTTTCATGTACAACGTTATCTTTTGGAATATCACTGTGCACCTAATGCTTATATCTGCTGTATATACAGTTATCTATGAGAAGCTCACACACTGTAATAATACTAGCATCATATATGTTATGAGTTTCACATGTTGTACATTAGCGTTACTTTTATTCGTACAGAGGTCACGGCACATGTGATGTAAACACCTTTATCTTATCATGATGAAGGCGGTATGGAAATATGTCAGGATCTATAAGCCTATATAAAAATATATATACATATATACAGTATATCGATGTGATATATTCTATTACAGTCAATGAGGATGGAGGCGGCTCCATAAAGATTTTGTAGCGGTAGCTGAGACTGCCAAGCCTGCGGTAGTCTGGCTGGAGATCACTAGCCAGCTGCAGATGGTACGGTAGCGAACCGAAGATTAGTGTACCATCACCTGCCCCCATTTTCTACCTCTAGTATAATCTATGTTTGTATCATACCCCTGCCACCTTTGCATTACTGTATATAAGGGTTTTTCTATCAGTATTGACTTACTTGCACAGAAGAATATTAAGACAATAATAATAAAAAGATATATAAATTTGCATCTTTGCTTAATGTAGAAATATAGAAATCAGTAAAATGCATTAAACTCCAAGTGAAGGTGACTAACTGCACGCCAGCTTGATGAGATTCCCGAGCAGCTTTAAGGAAGAAGAAGACACCCATAATCACAGCCTCTTTTATACTTAATTCTGGAAATTACCCACACAAGGCTGTAGGCAAGGTAAACACAATTTTTATAACTTGATTTTGTTCGTCCTGCGCATTTCAGAGAAACAACTTTCAGTCTAGTGAGAAATATAAGACGATCTGCCGTAGCCTGTGGATACATAGATTTTTATATTATCTTGTACGGTGAAGGGAGAAGCATCTTTTGCACTTGTTCTTGAAGTTAGATGTTGTCTCGTCCTCAGGCTAAGAGAAAACAATAAATAATAGTTTATTATCAAGTGCGTTTATTTAGTTGTATGACTCGCCAAACCAAATATGTCAGTTGCTAGTTCACCTATTGCAAACATTTAATTATTCCTTGGTTACGCTCAGAATGAAAGTAATGAAACCTTTGATAACTTTTCAGTAAGTTGCATTACGGTTCTTAAATGTTCGTTTCCCTGTTTATTCGTGCATAATTTGTATTTGTAAACAAGAGTTAACTCTTTAAAACTTTGTGTCTGGTTGTTTACATTGGTGCAGCAGAGAATGTGTATGAAAGTCTCAGTAGTACGACTGTCTCCACCAACTGTGCTTGGTAGACCTGAGCCACGCTGGCCTTAAGACAGTTTGGCCTAAGTGTGTGCCAGCGTACAAATTTTAGGGAATTAGTACATGTAAGTCAAGGCGACTGCATGGAAGGATATTTCGCACCCATTGATGTGCATAGCCTCAGTTAACCTATACTGTATAAGGGAATGTGTCGACAGGGTTTCTGTGAGTCTGCCTTATTTTTGTAAACAGCCAACAAACATACAGCCCGGCCTGTGTCCACTTTGTTAACAACCCGCTCACAATATTACTATTTATCTAAATGAATAGAGATATTATCCACACAGCTTCTTAGCTGATCAAAAAGTGAAAGTGGCGTCCATGGAACAGAAGGATGACCAAGAACGGATCATAGTCTGCGTCAGTACACACGAATAGACACATAGGCTGGGCAAAAACCTCTTTCACTCAGTATGTCAGGATTGTTATTCACAAAACTGACTGACTGACGCAGCCAAAAATTATTTATACACAGCATTAAGTGTCTATCAAAATGATTTCGACAAAAAGGAAAAATATTACCAGCGAGTGTAATATGTGCACCAAATCAATAGCCTTAAGGATACACCAAAAGTGTTTGTACTCATAACAGAGCGGACCGTTGGTTGGCTGGCGTTGAATGAGTTACGTGACATCACAGGAGCAACGAATACACTCCTCCCTACGCGTGTGACCCGCAGTCTTACCCACTTACCACTGACCTTCTACTCAGAAATTAGTTTTAGGGATTTTTTTGACTACACTATAGTCTTTACTGGAACCTTTGTGACTAAACCGACCGTTACATAAAAGAGAACTAAACGATAACATATAATATATTGGCGATAATTATAGAGCACTGGGGGTATCTAACTTAAGTTTCAGAGATATTTATTACTAAAATAGGAATTATTCATATATATAGGAACGAATAACATGATTACCTTTTTTTGTAAACGTTATAAAGACCAACCAGTACATGCTGATTTTTGTAGTAGTGGGACGGGCCTGCCTCATCCTTTAAATGTACAGACAACCTAGACTTATTTTGTAATATTTGGTAAAGTTTGGAGGACATAACAGATTTATCTTCTTGTGGCGGTGAGAGAGTGAGCTTAACAATGTTGGTAGATAATCCACAGTGTTGGCAATTATCAAGAAGGAGAACCTGTAACATAATTATCATCACATTCGCCATATGTATGCTTAAGTAGCACAATATATTGTGATTTCCTTAAGAGGCAGCGACCTAATGTATAACCACGACTCGCTGCATTGCACTGCCCGTGATAATGTTCTTGAGTTGTGCCTCACTCTCTCCTACTCACCATCATGCTCCCCGGCAACCACACAACACTATCTTGCGTTACGGCAACCACACAACACTATCATGCTCCCTGGCAACCATACAACACTATCATGCTCTACGGCAACCACACAACACTATCATGCTCCCCGGCAACCACACAACACTATCATGCTCCCCGGCAACCACACAACACTATCATGCTCCCCGGCAACCACACAACACTATCATGCTCCCCGGCAACCACACAACGCTATCATGCTCTACGGCAACCACACATCACTATCATGCTCCACGGCAACCACACAGCACTATCATGCTCTATGGCAACCACACATCACTATCATGCTCCCCGGCAACCACACAACACTATTATGCTCCCTGGCAACCACACAACGCTATCATGCTCTACAACCACACATCACTATCATGCTCCACGCAACCACACAACACCATCATGCCCCGGCAACCACACAACACTATCATGCTCTACAGCTACCCAACCACACAACACTATCATGCTCTACAGCAGCCACACAACACTATCATGCTCCCCATATCACCACGGCAACCACACATCACTATCATCACGGCAACCACACAGCACTATCATGCTCTACGGCAACCACACATCACTATCATGCTCCCCGGCAACCACACAACACTATTATGCTCCCTGGCAACCACACAACGCTATCATGCTCTACGGCAACCACACATCACTATCATGCTCCCCGGCAACCACACAACGCTATCATGCTCCACGGCAACCACACAACGCTATCATGCTATCCGGCAACCACACAACACTATCATGCTCCCCGGCAACCACACAACACTATCATGCTCCCCGGCAACCACACAACGCTATCATGCTATCCGGCAACCACACAACACTATCATGCTCCCCGGCAAACACACATCAATATCATGCTCCACGGCAACCACACAACGCTATCATGCTCCACGGCAACCACGCAACACCACTAAAATTCAACTTTGGTCAACTCTGAAGTAAACATATGCTTAAAGAGAATTAATGCAGGTATGTATAAATTAGGCCCTTTTTTTAAGCCTATAAGATTTAAAAAAAATTATACTTATTCTAGTTTCAAGTTGTCTTTGAGATATGCCCGTGAGACCTGGCTTCTCCACCAACTAAAACTTGACATCTGATGTAAGTCAGGATAAAGTTGGATGAATTTGGTCAGGTTGTTAAACATTAGCCGAGGTGTTCACGTATCCCCTGGGTATTATCTAATCAGAGAGACAAGTTTAACCAATCTGTATAGCTAGTGTTACAGGTGAATAGATGTGAGTGATATGTACCGATAATATTCACATTCATAATACATCATAAACATTCCTAAAAAATCATTCTCTAATCTAAGTTCTATTTTTAGCCGTTCTGACATGAAGTTAAACATCACCTCAATGGACTTCTTCAATATTGTCAAATTATTTATTGTATTGAGAGAAAAAAAACTATTCTAACACATCAGCATGAACGAATCATTTTACATCTTATCATTACACATAGTCTCCTGGGAGGTATAGATATATAGTGGTATAATCAAACTGAAGATTGTAATAATTCACCCCGAGGGACATGAGGTCTTAAGTTCCAGAGTCTAAGGTTATGTCTGACTGTTTGTGTTTCCATAAGCATTGTTTCCTTGTATAGTAAATTCGTTGCCTACCGATATTTCAGTGTTTTAATATCCCAAAAGGTTTTACTGTAACCGGATTTGTAGTGTGTGTGTTTAACTCATGTTTTTGTTTTGTTTTTCATTATGATGTGTGTTTGTGTGGTCTACTGTGTGTGAACATGTGCAAGTATTGGAGTATGCTGTTTGTTGGTAAAATATTTACATTTTTTTTACTTTGTATGTACTTTTCGGTGAGCTGGAACCAATTACCCAATATCCCATTGAAACAATGGATTCGGTTAACGAAATTTTCGGTTAACGAACGACCTTCTGGAACGAATTGTGTTCGTTAACCATATATATATATATATATATATATATATATATATATATATATATATATATATATATATATATATATATATATATATATATATATGATAGTACACTGTATGGTGTTACGTTTTCAAGTTAGAGCAAATATCTGGATTGTCACTTTAATAATTAATATCAACACTTTTTAAGGAAACATATGTCGTCAGTTCTCACCAAGACTTCATATTTGTTTTCAACAAGCTGAGGAAACCACCCTGCTTCTGACTGGATCTACGTTGATCACCATAACTCTGGCGGCGATGGTGAGTCTGTGGTCTTCTAGATATTTGATATTGATTGTGCATTTTTGATTGCCTAGACATTGTCTGATAGCTGTAGCTACGCTGTGGCTGCCTGAACTTCTGTCGTCTTGATGCTTGCTGACGACTGAAGCTCTTCTGAGGTTGTTGCTGAAACAACGACATCATCTGTTGAATTTTTTTAAACTTGCCATGACCCTGGGTCATCATCTGACGGCCATAGGAGGGTGTTCTTTGACGATTTCTGTGCCGTCTTTGAGAGTGGCCCGCCATCCGCCGCCCTCCACTACGCCCTTTCCTCCTGCGGCTGGTCTGACGCCCACATTTGCCAAACATCTTCTTGATAAAGTTGCAGTTCTGTCCACCAGACCTGGAGGAGTGGCTGCGTCTCTGATTCTGAAGTTTTGAAGAAGATAAAATTAATCAGCTTTGAATTCAGTTAATATTTCATTTAATATTCTGAACTTTATGTTAAAATTAATTCGAATTCAAAATAAACAGGATTTATACACCAGTGCTTGCATTTTCCTCTCTTATAATTCACCCAACAGATACTTCCTCTTCTGTTCTACGACCCTCCATGTTGACACTGCTAGTTGATTATCCTCTAATCTAAATTACAAATGTTACTTTATATAAGTCAGTCAGTACATTTATTATTTTTGGGGATATTCCGAACCATGAGTGCATAGAAGCAATCACATAGATAGCATAATAAAAGAAATCAGCCCTCAAGAACGACACTATTGTACAAATTCATTCTATTTTCACCCTTAGTTGTCTTGAGGTGGCTGACAATTAGTAACAACAACTACACTCACAAGTTCACAAGCGACGTAAAAATAGTTCAACTGTCCTCGGGCGATGAAAATCCCTGGTGGCAAGTTTATACACTACAGCCTAGCTTACCTTACCTCTGCCCAAAATTACCGGCTCAAGTCAGTCGGTCTACTGGTCCTACACAGAGACCTACTCCGTCGCTGATTCAGGCAGATCTTGGCAGCTAAGTCTGGTAATTCTTTGAGTCACGATAGTCTTAACAGTAAATATATCTCGCTAAATAGAGATAATTGCCGATTAAACCTTAAAAAGCAAATGGAGTTTATGCCAAATAGGGAAAACTTTCTGTGTCTATTGTTATATCACTGGGTATTAATTATGATATTGTAAAATTTGCGCTGTTTCATTTAAGGTGTCGGTTAGGTTAGGTTTTGCATGAAACTATTAATGTATATGTATTATGATAATGCTCCTATTTGTTTGTGGCCAATCTGAAGATTTCAAAAAGAGTAACGTCCTCATAGCTAATGGTTGGCGACCACAGTCCTCCACTCTATACTTTATCTAAAATATTTTGTAAAACACTTGAATATACTGTATATAGGCCTACGGGATTATAAAAGCACTAGAGTCGTTTGGGTAATCCATTTTATTTTCCCCCGACCTCCCATTAGTGGTAAAACAGTAACGGCAAAACACACACTAACATGACAACATTTTATTTGATATGTTGCAAAGATCAAACAAATTGGAAAAATATACCCATAATAAAAAAAAAAATTAAGAAACTCTATAAGACAGAATGAAAATGAGTAATAGGTGGATTGATAAAGTAATATATAGAAAGACCAAGAAGGTAAAGTTAGGAATGCACAAGGGAACAGTTGAATCGACATCATGTTAACGGCTATATAATCATACGTAAGAGCAATGTGCAAGGGGTTTAAATACGATGGATGATAAGAGGAAAATGAATACGTAGGAGATGTGGAAGTGAAGGCGCATTCGACGCGGACATGGACAGGGAGAAAATGGCAAGTGGAAGATTTGTTAAAAAAAAAGCATAATATAATTCAGGCTTACATGGTAGGAGGGAGAGGGGAAGAGCATAAAGGAGATGGAAGAATAGGGTGAAGGCATCGAATGAATTTTTGGGGGAAAGGATTGGTAATGGTAGGTGGTGCTGTCGTATGTGAAGTGACGGTCTTTAACCAAATTTGAAAAAACAAATGTAGTATGCGAGTATTATAAAGGAACAACACCACTTTTTTTTTAGCAAGAAAATTTAACGAGTAACAAAGAAGATGTATTCAATGCCAACAGAACAAATTATATACAAACTAACACACACACATTAGATTAGGTTGGGTATGAAACTATTAATTTTATGCAGGTTTCCGATTTTGTGTGAGACAATATGACACAAAGGACTAAGAATTAAGACAACCCTATGCCGAGACAACGGGAGTCGCGATGTTTATTTTGAAATTCATTGGACCGGAGGGCTTCCGTAAAGATATTTTTGGGGAGTTTTTAACTATCCGTGTGTATATAGTATATGTATGTTTGTATGTTTATTTGGTCGTTAACTTTCAGTAACATTGCTCTTCTCTTCTACACAAAAAGTATCTTCCATCTACTCCTCTCATGTAATCAATGCGCCTTATACAATTCACCATGTACCTTATACTTATTCATCCCTTACACTTCCCCTCCCCTCTGTCCTATTGAACACCTTCCTCTTCTCACCAACTCCACGTCCTCATGTTTATCTCACCTGTATTCTGCCGCCGCTGGAATGTTTATTGATCGTTCTCTTGGTGCGCCGATGGTACAGTCTGTTGGTCTCTTGACTCGATCCTTCGTGTCCTCCATGACTCGGTTCTCCAGTGCCGCCTCCTCCTGTGACCTCTCTTTGTGTAGTGTAAGCCAGTCCTCTCCCCAGTCTTCTCACTTTATGTATCCTTGAATCAAAAGATGGAGTCGACTCCAGTCTCCACCTCTCACTATCATCCCAACTCACAGGTTCATGAAAGATGCTGCATAATGATCCTGGGGATGACCAAGTGATGTTAAATAGTAGGCATTGTTAGGATGATTACAAAAATTCTGACATGTAATTTTCTTGGAGTACATAGAAAAATTCCCTCCATCACTATACCCCCTTAAACCTTCCTCTCATTTTTTGTTTAGCCAAGGGAGATATACCAACATACCACCGATTTCATGTTCAGGTGAAGATCCCGCTTGTCCATAATTAATGAGAGCGTTCTTAATAGCAGGTAGTACGGACCAAAACATCCTAGGGGACGCTGATGAACCTCTTCTACAGGCGTTGCAGACGTTGGGACAGTGATGCAGCATGTAGCTTGGGTTGCTCTCACACTGCCCACGCCTGCTCCATGCTACACACTGGTCGTTCATATCCATGCATGTCGGGTCTGGAAAAGGGTAACACTCCATCACATCTGAGGTTAGGTTAGGTTACAATTAGTGTATGGTCAAGACTATAGGATTTGGTGTAGCGAGGGACATATAGGTTGAAACACCACTGAAACTTCTCCATCTTTTAATCTTTGGCAATAGTGACTTATTTGATGTGACTATGATAAGTTGTTTGAAGTTGATATATGAGTGAGGATGTTTGTGTCAGTATATTATAGTCACTGTGAGAATAAAGTGTGTAAGGGGGGTATATGAAAAGCATCAGTTCCTAGCAAAAGTGAAAAGACAAACACATTTAATCCAAGTCAAATACTTTTTTATAGTGTATGGCTAACGGTGGACTAGCAACACACTATGTTATATTTTAATGCGGCTTAGCTCAGAATATGTCTGCGAGAATAAAAACCAACTTAAACTTTATGACGCGAGCTCAAAATTTGAAACGATGTTGAAGCACAGTAATGAGTCAAACTGCCTTAGCCTATCGCCTTTCTACCAAGTGTCGATAAAGACTATCCACTTTTGTCAGTTCAAGCCTAAACTACTGAATCCGAATGACTGTAGACTGCGTGACTTACTCAACCACTTATTACTCACACCTTCATCACGTCTCTTGGTAATAATAACTGACCTGCGGGACAGTTGTTGCAGCTTCGGGGGCAATGAGGGGCCATGAAGTCCGGGTTGTTGTCACACTCGCCCAGTTGTGCCCAGTGTTGACATTCTTCCCGACGGTCTTGGCACGATCCTGTACAACACACATAGCTGTACCTTAATGTTAGTCTAAGGTAGTTTACGGCATCAGTTAACGTACACTCACACACACACACATACGCGTCAATATTATAAATAAAACGAATATGATAAATATTGAAATGTTCAGATGTTACTACCAATATCAGGTGGGTTGTACAGTTCTCTCACTCTTGTTGACATGCAGGGTCCTCCACTGGTGTTGGTCAGATGTTCTTATCATACACAGGTGATGTCAAACACACACGGATATTGCCCTCCAGGGTATACAACATTTAATCTGTGTGAGGTTACAATCAAACTCACCGGCACTTGTAGGTGTGGTGCTGGCGGTAACGACGGCCACCCACACCAGGACGCAGCTCACCGCCCACCAAGCCCAGCTCCTGGTGAAAGGTGTCCAGATCACCATCATGCTGAGGAAGAGAATACTGTATACTGTGTTACACATGATGGCATGATTAATATTTTCAACATTATTCTCTTATTCATATTTTATTGAAAATCAGTCATGCATGGATTACTTGCCTAATGTTACCCTAATTGTGTGTTTGCATCATTTCTAGTCGAGTCACTAAATTATTAATCACCCTACGACTGAGATCCTCACCAACAGAACTCCACAATTACGTGATTTTTACCCGAAGTTCAGCAGTGTTTTGCGGACGATCTGCAAAATCTTGATTTTTTCCAAACTCTCAGAAGAAAGTAATCACAAAGTTTCAATCTAGGCTGCCAGGTGGCTATAAAATTCCACACTTGTGCACCTTATGGACAAAGGGTGTAGACATGAACACACAATGGCTTATGCAGGATGGGGCGACACCTCACACTGCAAGAGGTGTTCTCAACTTTCTTCGTGGCACATTTAACGACCAGCTGAACTCCATTGCAGCGAGACACTCGAGTGAAAACAAAGAAAAATAAAACTTAAAGCTTTTTACTATAAGATAAGCTGTAGTTGTAATGTAAAGTAACTTATTTTAGAAATGTCTATCGGATTAATGGTTGAGATATTAGAATTTTGAAACATTAATCCTTGGATGAATAAGCTGCAAAGTTAGTAAAAAAGAAAGTGGGTTCCATAAGCATGACCGCCCGTTAGGGACAGTGTGGCTGCAGCACACTGTACAGTATACGAGTACTAAGTCAATTTTCCAAAACCCCAGCATACTGTTTTTTTTTTTTGTGAAATTACTTGTAATCCTGCTGGCCAATTTGCAAAAAGACCAAATACATCATAAATACCTCATTGTAGAAGACATGGAAGAAACAGTGGTAGCCAGCCCTGGTGGTAGGGGAAGCTAGAGACTGGTGCAACCAATTCTCATTGTCACCAGAAAACGGGAAGGGTAAACAGGCGGACGGTTGATAGCTTGTTGGTGGCAAGGCAGTGGTAGGGGGAGGTGTCTTGTGAAGCCAGACTGAGCCAGTTTTCATTCAGTCACCACTCCAGCTCAAGTGAGGGCGGGCCTATTCTTACTACTGCTCTTACTTTTCCATTGTTTGATTATAACCTGAAAATTTGTACACTGAACGACAAAAAAGTGTTTTCTATGCCAAGTTGGTAGAAACAGAGCACAACAAAGCAGCAAATTCTTCGAGTTTGCTGCCAAGAGAGTACCAATAGTTCTGTGAGGAGTGGCAGCCCAAGTGTCTCCAACAGGATGAATTCACGGGCCCAGGTTAGTAAGCAAGTATTGGTAACTGTTTACAATATGTCCGCACCTACTTCAGTAAAACCGAGATATTCATGCTTAATTCACCTTGACTTGTTTGCTTAGTAAGACCCGACAGTGGGAAGGACTATGATTAATCACAAACAATTATTAACACTATTTGACACATTCAGCAAGAATCGACACACTGAAAGACATTAAACATTGTTGTCACAAGTGACTACATTCATTCTAAATCAAAAGATATGAATATACATTTAACAACAATTTTCTTACGTAAATACACGTGCAAAGATGAGCAACAAAAACATTATTAATTTCCCATTCATCGATAGACGTAACATATTTAGGAATGACCGACATCAAATCGCCAAAATTCTGAGCAGCGTAAAACACATCATGTTACCTGGTAGACCGCGAGCCCTGCACAGACCTCCGCCGTCGAACAACTGACTCCTTCACCACCGGACGCCGGGGTTTTTGTAACTCAGGACTCCCCAGTTGACCTTTGACCTCAGTAAACCCCCAAAACGACAGCAATACAATCATCACCCTATATGGTTATAGAAAATAACTACGTGTGTTAACCTAGATACTTTTTGATCTCATGTAAACGGATAGATTCATTAAAGGAGAAAATATGTCTAAAATATATAAGAAACAACGGAATACTTGGCAACGCTTCTGCAGCTCATCACGATACCTATAATAACCAGGAAGGAGGGAGGAGACTATATGACGTAGGTAATGGTGTGAAAGAGGTGGTGGTGGTGATGGTAGTAGGCGGCAGACACATTCCGGAAATCTGATGATGGTGTTAGTGGTAATGACACAGTGACGGTCAACAAAGATGCAATTATTTGGTCCCTCATTACGACAGGAAACTCACCAGCACTCTGACAGCCAATACAGACCGAGATATTCTTAGTGCAATGAAGTGCAATGGATTACATCTGTCTTGGTTTTTAATGCTAAAATCAATTAAAGTTAACATCGTCAAGGCTGTTATTCCCAGGCATTAGTAGTAACGATTGTCTACGGTGTCCTTGGTGAAGAACATCCTCAAGGGAAATCTCTTCTCAGACAATCACACAGGTGGGCAATAAACAGGTAATGTAAGTCCAATGATTATGGTAGTCTGCCTTGGGGGTGGGGGGATGCTTCTTAACTTTCCCGAAAACTTCTTTAATTAAATGTTTTTATTGCGTTAAGGACTCGACACACCATACTAAGACTCAACTTTTTGGTTTACTCTTACAATGACGATTATGAAATCCGGAGGAGTGAAAGGTCCTGTACATTATCGAACCCGCTACGCCAGATTAAAAAAAAAACAACAACAACTAGTTACCATAATATTATTTCACTTGAATGTAGTAACCGATTCCATAATTTATATAAATATCACCACAAAAGGTAATCATACAACGCAGGAAATGCCGTCCTTCTTAAGAAGAGGAAAATCCCAACAATGTCTTTAAAAGCACAAGTATTTACAATAAACGAGGGGCTAGCGAAGTACTTGACCTTCCGAGGTTGTTGTGTCATTGCCGTGTGTACTCCTCCTTGTCTGCAGTGTTCCCGCGTAAACAATGGGATATGATTGTTGGTTTGTTGATTGGAGGCGTGAGAGTTCCGTCACGGCGTGTGTATTGTTGTATACGTAACGTGGACAAAAACAGGCGCCGGGGATGTCCTGTACAGTGTACACTGTACACTGTACAGTATACTTCTAAAAGTACAAAATTCTACCAACAAATACACTAAACTAACCTATTTTAGGTATAACTTGACAATGTTATGATGACACAGCATAAATTTTATCATATGCGAGTTAATCTCCATTACGTTGCACCAATAAAAAGAAAACGTTATCCTAAATTTTTAAAAACAGCAGTTGTATTTTAGAGCTTAATTGGCATTTATTAGCATGATACACACACACACACACACACACACTCGTTACATCTGGTCACCTTAACAGTGTGGTGGTGAGCGTTAATTTCACAGTATCAAAACAGTATGAGAATTATTATGGATAGGTAATGATAGAAAATTATATACATTATGACCTTTAAAAATGTTGATAATACTCAGAAATATTAATGTGGTTTATACCGGTCTGCTAATATAACTTTAATCACTATAAAATGAGACGAAGTTTTATATATTTACTTGTATAGTGAGAGGGCACAACCGAAGCTGGCTGTGTTTACCTCTTGCCTAGTTATTATGGCATTCGTGCTGCCCATGTGGCCGCCCTCTAGCTAAGACAGAAGTACAGTCCCAGTTTCTGTGTCAGTAATCAGTTATGAATAATTCTTTCAGTGACTGATGGTGACCAGAGATGTAATATAAGCTTCAAGGTCGGGCACTCATGACACATTTGATATAGAAATATAAGATTGAAACAGCTCTCCTTCGTTAGCTAGTGTAAGGTGTCCTTTGGGTGATTCTGAACTCGTCGCTTTCAAAACTTAAGCTACAGTAACCATTACAGGACTTTGGGAGGAAGTTTCTGTCATCAAAAACATCTCCCTGGTCACACAACAGATTAATGCCTGAGCTGCATCACATCTACCTACCGCCGCCATGACTCTAGCTCCCCCTCTCTCTAGCCTGGCGGCGCACACTTGATCAATACACCCGCCCATCTGTTTGGGTCCAATCCCTCTCTACCTCTGCCTCCCCCTTCTTCAACCCAGACGGCAGACACATCTACCACATGTTATTCTTCTCTTTACATCCACTTCAACCAAAATTCACCAAGAAAATTTATTGAATAGATGGATTCCAATACTATTTCTTTCATAAACTCTCAACAAGTCCAACTCACTATCACTCCATCACTCCACTACAAGAAAATATACTTCTGGGGAGTAACAATAATCTCACCCACTTTTCCAGCAGACACAAAACCTGCTGTCGTTTCCCCTATTGCTGACTTGCTGTTCCCTCTCCCTCCTCCCAACATTTCTCTACGTAGACACCGTTCCTTCTCACCATCTCGTGCACAGGAATCACTCACCTACCCCACTGTAAAAGTTCATCATTAACTAATTCAACACCCGCCTTAAATCTTTTCCAAGGTATACCAATATTAACACTTACAGTAGACCAGTCCAGCGACCTTTCTCTTATTCAACTAGTCAATGATAACTGGAATCTTTATCCGCCAAACATCTCCACTTCAGCAACTCGTACGTGTCCCCGCCATGTCATTCAAGACAGTGATAGACTACTCACAACACCTGCCTGAAAGTTGGCTACCTGGACTTATACACGGATAATTGTCACAAGGATCATAATGTGCAGTCTCGTTCAAGATTCTTCGAACACTGCTGGACACAGCTGGCAACTCAAGGCTATTTGTTTACTATAGTACGTAGTAAAAATTATGAATGAATGTAAAAGTGATCCGTGATTGGTTACTTAATTCCCCGTTGCTTAATTAATGGTTGGGCTTTGTTGTTTCGTATTAATATTATACCTTTCTGCTGGTATATACTGTTAATTTGATTTTAAACTGGATGGAGCAATGGGCCAACCTATATGAATTTATGTTTAGTTAATTAAACATAAGTAAAAATCGGTAAGCATGTTAAAGAACATCATGCATCGGGCACAGCTGTGTGCAGGCTGTTTATGAGGTTGCCTGTTTATCATTAATTTATACTAATATTATCTTCAAACGTTTAGTCCCTTTCGGGTAATTAATCCAGTTGTATGTAACCGATGCTAAACAGACTTCTTTCTAAAGACGCTGATTTCTTGCAACACAAACTGCTGTTTTAATTCGCTGTGGGATTAAGCAGAATCATCGGTTCACTGCTATTTTTAGTAAGTGTGTGTGTGTGTGTCTGTGTGCATGTGGAGTATGTGTATGTGCGTGTGGAGTGTGTGCGTGTGCGTGTGGAGTGTGTGTGTGCATGTGGAGTGTGTGTGTGTGTGTGTGTCAGCCTGTGTCTGTGTTTAATAATGACGTTGTTCAATTGAAGGTGATGGTAATTAATCTTACGAACCATCTGTTTGATGGTGTGAATTAGTGCGGTAGCATATGCCTAATACTTTTACAAGCCTTTATCTAGCAATATTATTGTCATTCCAATACTCTAATTATTGTAAACAGCAAATGGTATTTCTTTCGTTGAGTGACTATTTGTCCCCCCCCCCCTAAATCCTTGTTTCTGACTTGTGTAGATTACGTCACCTTTAGTCTGGTGTCTTTTAAAAAA